GCTTAAAACAAATACAAATAAAACATCCAAAAATTATTTTGAGCAAAGAACCAAGAAGGAAATTCATTTTCAATTTTGGACTAGGAGCAACCCTAGTCAAAATCAATTTTGTCACTTTTTTCTTCGAGAGTTTTTCCAAATGGATTAAAACTTTGCATGAATATTCTAGTGCTTAAAACAAATACAAATAAAACATCCAAAAATTATTTTGAGCAAAGAACCAAGAAGAAAATTCATTTTCAATTTTGGACTAGGGGCGACCCTAGTCAAAATCAATTTTGTCACTTTTTTCTTCGAGGGTTTATACAAATGGATTGAAACTTTGCGTAAATATTCTAGTGCTTAAAACAAATACAAATAAAACATCCAAAAAATTTTTTGAGCAAAGAACCAAGAAGGAAATTCATTTTCAATTTTGGACTAGGGGCGACCCTAGTCAAAATCAATTTTGTCACTTTTTTCTTCGAGGGTTTTTCTAAATGGATTGAAACTTTGCATAAATATTCTAGTGCTTAAAACAAATACAAATAAAACATCCAAAAATTATTTTGAGCAAAGAACCAAGAAGGAAATTCATTTTCAATTTTGGACTAGGGGCGACCCTAGTCAAAATCAATTTTGTCACTTTTTTCTTCGAAGGTTTATACAAATGGATTGAAACTTTGCGTAAATATTCTAATGCTTAAAACAAATACAAATAAAACATCCAAAAAATTTTTTGAGCATAGAACCAAGAAGGAAATACATTTTCAATTTTGGACTAGGGGCGACCCTAAAACTTTGCATAAATATCCTAGTGCTTAAAACAAATACAAATAAAAAATCCTAAAATTTTTTTGAGCAAAGAACCAAGAAGGAAATACATTTTCAATTTTGGACTTGGGGCGACCCTAGTCAAAATCTAGTTTGTCACTTTTTTCTTCGAGGGTTTTTCCAAATGGATTGAAACTTTGCATAAATATTCTAGTGCTTAAAACAAATACAAATAAAAAATCCTAAAATTTTTATGAGCAAAGAACCATGTAGGAAATACATTTTCAATTTTGGACTAAGGGCGACCCTAGTCAAAATCTAGTTTGTCAATTTTTTCTTCGAGGGTTTATACAAATGGATTGAAACTTTGCATAAATATTCTAGTGCTTAAAACAAATACAAATAAAACATCCTAAAATTTTTTTGAGCAAAGAACCAAGTAGGAAATACATTTTCAATTTTGGACTAGGGGCGACCCTAGTCAAAATCAATTTTGTCACTTTTTTCTTCGAGGGTTTATACAAATGGATTGAAACTTTGCATAAATATTCTAGTGCTTAAAACAAATACAAATAAAACATCCTAAAATTTTTTTGAGCAAAGAACCAAGCAGGAAATACATTTTCAATTTTGGACTAGGGGCGACCCTAGTCAAAATCAATTTTGTCACTTTTTTCTTCGAGGGTTTTTCCAAATGGATTGAAACTTTGCATAAATATTCTAGTGCTTAAAACAAATACAAATAAAACATCCCAAAATTTTTTTGAGCAAAGACCCAAGGAGGAAATTCATTTTCAATTTTGGACTAGGGGCGACCCTAGTCAAAATCAATTTTGTCACTTTTTTCTTCGAGAGATTTTCCAAATGGATTAAAACTTTGCATGAATATTCTATTGGTTAAAATAAATACAAATAAAACATCCTAAAATTTTTTTGAGCAAAGAACCAAGTAGGAAATACATTTTCAATTATGAACTTGGGACAGGTCTAGTCAAAATCTAGTTTGTCACTTTTTTCTTCGAGGGTTTATCCAAATGGATTAAAACTTTGCATAAATATTCTAGTGCTTAAAACAAATACAAATAAAACATCCTAAAATTTTTTTGAGCAAAGAACCAAGAAGGAAATACATTTTCAATTTTGGACTAGGGGCGACCCTAGTCAAAATCAATTTTGTCACTTTTTTCTTCGAGGGTTTTTCCAAATGGATTGAAACTTTGCATAAAGTGACAAAATTGATTTTGAGTGAAACTTTGTGTGAGTATACTAATATTTATACAAAACAGTTTTAAATATCTAAAGCAAGAAATGTATTCTATATGTCGTCAGACCCAAATTTTATAAATTTGGTTCTACATATAAAAACAACGTGACTTAAAATTTTTCCAAAAAAATGATTTTTATTAATTCAGAAATGTGTGACCTGAGGTTTAGAATGCTCATACAAAGTTTTACTGTATTTGGATTTATCCTCGAAGGGAAAAAAGTGAAAAACGAGATTTTGACTAGACCTGTCCCAAGTTCATAATTAAAAATGTATTTTTACTTGGTTCTTTGGTCAAAAAAATTTTTTGGATGTTTTATTTGAATTGACATAATTCTGACATAAATCACATACCAATATTATTTTTTTTAATGCATAGCTTAAAAAAATCGAAATCTAAAATTTCGACTGCCCCATCTGAATTTTGTTCATACTCTTCACTGTGGAAACCAAAAAACAAATTCTTTATCTTAAAACACTTGACAAAATAGCGACACGATTCAGGATTAATTACTTTTTAATAATATTTTAACATTTACGAGAAAATGTGGTTCAAATAAGTGTGAAGTATGGCCGAGATTTAGACCAAAATCAGCTATACTGGTTCATAGTGTTCCCGAGGGTGACAAAATTCAAACTAAGTGTTTTTGTAGCTGACATAATTATGACATAAATTAGGTATAACTTTTGAACTGTGTCGATATGGGTCTCGGCCGTACTTCACGCCCACCCTTCAAACTTATGCTGAGCAAATCTTGGTCTATCCATAAGACTTTTGATGGTACGGTGTGAATATATCCGCATTGGGTTTCTACCCGATACACTAGTTAAATTTTGTTCTTAGTCCTGTATTTTTTTCATGAAAATTTCCGTTAATTTTCGAATTTTACTCTATGTCCTGTTTTTCTCGAAAAAATTTACCAAATGTCCTGTATTTACATGAAAATTAGATGGTAACCCTACTTCTAACGTAAAAATATGGTAAGCTTTTTTTCACTAATCCATGAGAAAATACCAAAAAAATTAATAGAGAATCATACTGTACGAATTTAATTTTTATCGATAGCAATAAATTATACTTGTTGATTTTAAATTATTTTGAACTTTTAAATCATTTAAGATTGAAAGATATTGGATAAAATATTTTTAAGGATGCTAGCATAATTGACATTAAATTGTAAAAGCTCATTAATTATGGGCATTAAAGCCCAGTAGGTTATATGTTTTAAATAAAATAAAACTAGTAAAGAGGTGATCACACGTGATCGACCGAAGCGCATTTTCCCAGCAGAGAATTCGAGTAGAAATTAAAATCCAAAAACTTAAAACATTAAACTTACGTACGTAAAATGTGAAGCAAAATTTTAGAAAAAGTTAATTTAATTACCCTTCCTGTGCTTCAATTATTCTGATTTTTTGGGCAGCTCTTGCAAGACACAATACAAATATTATAAGCCAAAAACTGCATTAAAAAAGATTAAGCTGGAGGAGGAGATAGCTGCACAGACGGACGAACAAAACGTGGACAATAGCGTCCTTTCTTGAAAATAAAATGCGTTAAAAATGTAGCCTGAAACATATGCAATTAACCATGCATATACTCACATTTTTTATTAAACATTATTTTTCTTTTATCTTTGTTTCTAAAAAGTTTCTCATAATTGCATGACAAAGTACCACAATTTATGCATCACGAATCGCACAATTCGAATTCCCATGACTAGAACAGCAAAAAAGCACACCAGAAAATCAGACTAGACATTCCCTGAAATCGAACCAGGGTCGTTAGGGTTTTTTTTACCACTCGCCACTGCTGCTTCTTCGCTGCTGCAAATACTTTAGAAAAAAAACCTTTTCAAAAATATGGGATGCCCAGTAATAGCACCGACGTGGAATAACATCGAAACTCGAGACGGTAATAAGGTCGAAATTTAATTTTGCACTGGGCGGTAATAACTTCACCTATAAAGTCTAAGTGAACTTATTCCAACACCATGACGGAATAATTTCACCTACAAGCTATAAGTTTTCAAGCACTTATAATTAAACTAATTGAATAATTTATAGTTCAAAAATAATTAAAATGATTCAAAAAGCATCCAAAATGGAAGCTTGGTACAACAGAATGATTTTCATCTAAAACTTGATGGTTTTAAAAAAAAATTAAAATAAATCGTTGAAAAGTTATTACCGCCCAGTGCAAAATTAAATTTCGACCTTATTACTGTCTCGCGATTTACTCAACAAGTGAAGTTATTCCACGTCGGTGCTAATACTCGGCATCCATATTTCGATATATGATTTTACTTTTATATTCTTAAATATGTTTACTTTTCCAATTTGAAATGAATGAAATGAATAATTTCAACTCTCACTTTTATAAAGCAATCAGCATCAGGAAATGATGTTTGGAAAAGAACATGCCACTTTTTTAAAAAAATTATTTCTTGTATAGTTTGCGATTACTTCATATGAATAGTAGACATTACTTTTAACAATAAGCCAATGTCTAAAAAAGAGCAAAGAGCGTTGTAAAAAGAGGCTGTAAAAAAGATTAAGAAATCTTTGCAAATGTATAGCAAAAGAGAGGGAGTGAGAAACGAGTATTTTCTTGTGTGTGTGATTCAAGAAAGAGCAAAATTGTGAGCATTAGTTTAACTTGTTTATTCGTGTTTGAAACGTTGAAGAGTTTGCATTAAGACCTTCACTATAAATTCCATAATTTAGTAAAAGTATGGAAAATGCGAATGGTTCGAAGGTTAAATCAGTATAGTGTTAATAACTATTGTTAAAAATGATCAAATTGTTTTCTACAAATTTTATGAATTTTAATATATATGAAAAAGAAATCAAAATTTGCTGAATAAAAACAAATAATAATGAATAAAAAAATCCAAAAAAGGAAAGTGAAAAAATAAGTTGATACCTTTTTGAACATTCCGATTTTAAATACTAAACATTTTAATGATAAAAAAAGTAACGTAGATTTATAAAACGATTAAAAATGTGTCAAATAAATTTATAATTTTTAAGTGATAAAGCAAAAATCAAATGAAACAATGAAAATGAAATCGTATCCTGGTTATGCAATAGATGCCAACTTTTATGTTGGTAATTACAATTCTTTAGGAATAATGTATGAAGCAAATTGGAATAGTTCAAATCAAAAACAAGATTTAACAAAAAGCGTGAAACTATCAAGTATAAGTCAGAATGTTTCATCGCTTGGATACTACCAAAAACGCGTGGATAAACTTAGAGAATTAGAAACATATCAACAGAGAGAAAATATTATTGAAAAAAAGAATCTTCCGTCAAAGTTAAAAATTAATAAAAACAAAACAGAAAATGTGGAATGGGACTGTGATATTCAGAAACACAATAATACTCCCATTTTAAATCCTTTATACAATCATTCCAAAAATAACTGGCACTCTTCAAACTACCTACCTTTTTCAAATACTAAAAGCACTGAAACATCTCTAAAAAGATCTCAAACAGTTATTGTGAAGCAACCTACTACATCAAGATATCCTTTTGAAAGAGAACATGAACAGAATCTGTTAGATTTAAAAGGTTCTTTGCAAAAACAAAGGAGTTTTATTAAAGGAGAAGAAAATAGAATCAATAAAGTAAACAAATTAGATCGCCATTGTGATATTGAATCAGACTGTGATATTTTAAATAATAGATTTGAAAAAATTAGACTAAATACTCCAAACTCTGAAAATAAAGCGAATGATACATATTGTTATAAAACAATGTATTTTCGTACTCTTAATGAAGGTAATGAAAAGTTACGAAACTCGAGTTTTGCAACAGATATTATAACGTCTAAAATAAAACTTGATTCAGCAGCAGTATTACAACAGAAAACCAAAATCAATCAATTGGATGATATTGATATAATACGAGACATTGAAAATTCAAAGTCAAACGAATCTGCCAAAGAATTTGAAATCTGTTCAAATGATTGTAAAATAAAATTAAAGAAAGAGAAAAAAAATGGATTAACAAAATTTTTCTACAATACAATATCGAATGGTTCGAAAATTCCAAAAGTTATCTTAGGACGATCAAAAAGTCAGAAGAGTCAAAGTACAAAAGTTACAAAACTAAATGAGTCTTTTCAAAGCAATCTTAATGAAAATGATATTAAATCTTCATCCTCAAATGCATCGACTTTAACTCCTTCTCCGGTTTTAAATGAAAACAATTTTACCCGATCTCAAAAATCTGATTTACAAACGTTTTGCATACCTCGACCTCGCTTAATTGTTCCTGTTCACTCCTATACTCGAAAAAGACGTACTGGAAATTTAACTAAAGATCAATCTTTATCTAAAAAAAGTAATAATGGAAAACTAAAAGGTACAATTGGTAATTTATAAAAAAAAATTATGAATCAAAATACTGTGCTTCGTTAATTTTCCGTGTTAAAGCAGCATATTCATATGTATATACTTGAAAATTATTATTACACTTTTTAAAGTAACAAGATGTATTTTCACTGTTTTGGGTGATCTTAATACAAATAAATTGCATAACAGCACATTACTTATCCGAATAACATTTAAATGGCTTTGATCGGTAAAAGTCTTTGTTTTTATATCTTTTTACTCAAATCAGCATAATTGTGTTTTAGAAGTTTGTGTTAATAAAAATATATGCGAATGGGAAATATTTATTTTTTAAGGATGCTCCATAAAAAGGAAAAAATAAATAATGATAAGGTTTCTCAATTTAAAGTTGCTCGACCTTACTTGAATGTTACAAAAAAAATGATTACATTAATAAATGTGATTAAATGAAACCAAACTAAATTGATAATTTTTTTAAAATAAAAGCATTAAAACACAATAATCATAAATTCATACGTAAATCATTTTTTTTAAAAAGGAATTCGAATATTCTTAAATAATTAAAAGTTGATGCGTTTTTTTTTTTAAAAAAGTGATTAGGTAAGCTCTGTCACAAAGCTTTTACGGACAAATATTCTTTTTTGGTAGCATTGAAAATAATTTTCTTTTTATCGTCTTCTCTATGTTGTCTTTTTCTAAAAAAAACTTTCCCTTTTATTTCATTCATATAGAGGGACGCGTTGAAGTATCACGAGAAGGAAAATATTTATCAACATTGTCTGGAGCAAAAGTTTTAGGAGAACTAGCAATATTGTATAATTGTCAGAGAACCGCAACAATAACTGCTGTATCCGACTGTAAATTATGGGCTATCGAGCGACAATGCTTCCAGACAATAATGATGAGAACTGGTCTGATCAAACAAACCGAATATACAGACTTCCTTAAAAGGTATGAATTAGTAACAGTTGCGGTTTGAATGACAAGATGTTTTGAGCTTAGTTGTATGTTTTAGTTCGTATTTCAATTCTTAAAAATAGTATACTTTCAAAAAACTAGAAAATCATGTTTAATTTAATTAAATTTACTAACCTAAGTTAAATTAAATTAAAATTTTCCCTCGTTTATTTACAACAACGAAGTTTTCTGAAAAATAAAATCTGTTGATAATCACGCGAAGGCAATTTATTAGATTTCGAAGCTTACAAATTTTTGAAAACAATTAAAATAATATTTTCTTTTTTCTTAATTTCAGTGTTCCAACATTTAAGGATCTTTCAGAAGATACATTAATAAAAATTTCTGATGTTTTAGAAGAATGTTATTACCGAAAGGGAGATTATATCATTCGTCAAGGAGCACGAGGAGATACTTTCTTTATCATTTCAAAAGGACAAGTTCGTGTAACGATTAGACCTGAAGATTCTTTCGAGGAAAAATTTATTCGTACTTTAGGCAAAGGAGATTTCTTTGGAGAGAAAGCTCTTCAGGGGTTAGTGCTTTACGTATCATAATTTTGAGCGCATTTTTAAAAACTTGTTTTTGTTAAGGTAGCTTAATAATACACTTTATTTAGCTGATAGATTGTTCGGCTGCAATTGAGATCCTCTTTAAAAAAATCATTATTTTAAATTTGAGAAATTTTTTGATTTTAATGCAGTGTAGCCGGTCTTAATGTTAAATTCCTGAAAAACTGTTGTTATTTGAAAATGAGAAAAAAAACTGTTGAATAATAGTTAATAACAGTCTTTTAAAATACACAAATTCACTAGAAAAGATTTTAACTTACTATAAGCATTGTCAAGTAAATTAGCAAACAAACGTAATAAGTACGTTATTAAACAATTAGCAATGTGTATTAAATCTTTATTTTATTCCTTTGCTCGCATCAAATTGCTAATAAAATACTGATCACTGGAACAAAAAATCCGCTGAAGCCCGTTGATAAAGCACGAGAAATTTTGTAATTAAATAATAATTCTTCAAAATATTGCTAGTGATGATTTGAGAACAGCGAACATCATATGCGATTCACAAGAAGGAGTTACATGTTTGGTAATTGACCGAGAAACGTTTATTCAACTGATTTCCAACTTGGACGAAGTTAAAAATCGATATACTGATGAAAGTACCATCGAAAGAAGGAGGTATGTAATTTCTCCTTTAAACGTCTGTAGTTAAGATATTTTTCATTCTCAAAAATTCACTTTTACCTTTACTAATACTTGGGGTTCATGCGGAAAAACAAAGTTATCTTTCTATTATAAAACTTAACTTATTTCGTGATGAAACGTGACGTTTCAAATGAGTTGTTCTTTACAACTTTTAACATTTTTTAAAAATACTTTTACAACTTAACTTTCATTCTATTTACTTCTATTGCTAACAAGTCATATTACAAGGAAAAACATAGGGGTAAGATCTAATAAGTCTCAGTAACTCAAGGAAGAATTTTTTTAATTTTTGTTGTTAAAATAAATACTTATTAGATTTCAACAATAATGCAAAAACAATAATTCAAATTAAAAATTATTTATAGAATCAATGAAGAGTTTCGTGATGTTCAACTTACGGATTTAAGAATAATTGTCACTCTTGGAGTCGGTGGATTTGGAAGAGTAGAATTAGTTCAAATCAAAGATGACACAACACGTTCATATGCACTTAAACAAATGAAAAAAGCTCAAATTGTGGAAACAAGACAACAACAGCACATCATGTCAGAAAAAGAAATAATGGTAGAAGCAAATAGCGATTTCATTGTTAAACTTTTTAAAACGTTTAAAGATCGCAAATACTTGTACATGTTAATGGAAAGTTGTTTGGGTGGTGAATTGTGGACTATTTTAAGAGATCGTGGACATTTTGATGATTCAACTACTCGTTTCTATACAGGTATTTTAATATTTTGTCATTTTTAAAATTAAATAAATGTCTTAATGTAAAATGTTAACAATTCATTTTAAGCTTGTGTTGTAGAGGCATTTGATTATTTACACTCTAGAAATATAATATATAGGTATGATTACTATTTTATTAAGTTAATCAATTATTTTTATAAATTTAATTTACTAATTAATTTTTATTTAAACTCTAGAGACCTCAAACCTGAAAACCTTTTATTGGATGTATCTGGCTACGTCAAGCTAGGTTTGTAATAAACGTAATTTTTCAGAACTCTTATAATATTATTTTTTTTCCCACATTTTAGTTGATTTTGGTTTTGCTAAAAAGTTACAAAGTGGAAGACACTTCAAGACATGGACATTTTGTGGAACACCTGGTAATTTTTTTTTCATAATCTATTTTGACTTCCACGCAAAAGCGTGCAAGTTATTAGTTTCACGAAAAACACACTTTTTTTAATACAGCCTGAAGGACTCATTTTTAAAAATCTCAAAGGGTACCAAAATGTGTGTATTAGGAGACCGGATTTTTCTGTACATAAACGTTTACATTTGGACATCACCTATGCATTCAAAACGCCATAAAACGTCTTTTTTGGGTCTACAAATTTGGTGATAAGCTTAAAGTATCTGAAGGTTTAATTTCTCTTTTGCCATTTGATCACACAATATAAGCAATTAGGGGGATCGAAAGTCATTTTTCGAAATTCTCAAATTTTCAGTAGTTTTGAAGCTGTTAAAGTTGGAAAACCTAGGAAAAATGGTCATTTTCTTAAAATTCTTGCAGCACCAGACTTTTTTTCAAACTAGATATTACATTGAAATCTATCTTTATGTCCTCAGCAAGAGCTTAAGAAAAAATCCGCATATGACTATATTTTGACTTTACCATGACTTGCTATAGCCTCTTGAAAATCGAAAAAATCGATTTTATATCTATATTAGCATTCTTTATCATTTATAATACCTATTTATGTTTTAAAATGCAATTTAAAACATTTTTGGTTTCAATCATAGTAGGCTTTTTTCAAAAAAATATCGATTTTATATCTATATTAGCATTCTTTATCATTTATAATACCTAGATATGTTTTAAAATGTAATTTAAAGCATTTTTTGGTTTCGATCATAGTAGGCTATTTTCGAAAAAATATCGATTTTATATCTATATTAGCATTCTTTATCATTTATAATACCTAGATATGTTTTAAAATGCAATTTAAAGCATTTTTGGTTTCGATCATAGTAGACTATATTCAAAAAAAATATCGATTTTATATCTATATTAGCATTCTTTATCTTTTATAATACCTAGATATGTTTTAAAATGCAATTTAAAGCATTGTTGGGTTTCGATCATAGTAAGCTTTTTTCAAAAAATATCGATTTTATATCTATATTAGCATTCTTTATCTTTTATAATACCTAGATATATTTTAAAATGCAATTTAAAGCATTTTTGGTTTCGATCATAGTAGACTATATTCAAAAAAAATGTCGATTTTATATCTATATTAGCATTCTTTATCTTTTATAATACCTAGATATGTTTTAAAATGCAATTTAAAGCATTGTTGGGTTTCGATCATAGTAAGCTTTTTTCAAAAAATATCGATTTTATATCTATATTAGCATTCTTTATCATTTATAATACCTAGATATGTTTTAAAATGTAATTTAAAGCATTTTTGGTTTCGATCATAGTAGGCTATTTTCGAAAAAATATCGATTTTATATCTATATTAGCATTCTTTATCATTTATAATACCTAGATATGTTTTAAAATGCAATTTAAAGCATTTTTGGTTTCGATCATAGTAGGCTATTTTCAAAAAATATCGATTTTATATCTATATTAGCATTCTTTATCTTTTATAATACCTAGATATATTTTAAAATGCAATTTAAAGCATTTTTGGTTTCGATCATAGTAAGCTATTTTCAAAAAATATCGATTTTATATCTATATTAGCATTCTTTATCATTTATAATACCTAGATATTTTTTAAAATGCAATTTAACGCATTTTTGGTTTCGATCATAGTAGGCTATTTTCAAAAAAAAAATATCGATTTTATATCTATGTTAGCATTCTTTATCATTTATAATACCTAGATATGTTTTAAAATGCAATTTAAAACATTTTTAGTTTCGATCATAGTAGGCTATTTTCAAAAAAAATATCGATTTTATATCTATATTAGCATTCTTTATCATTTATAATACCTAGATATGTTTTAAAATGCAATTTAAAGCATTTTTGGTTTCGATCATAGTAAGCTATTTTCAAAAAATATCGATTTTATATCTATATTAGCATTCTTTATCTTTTATAATACCTAGATATATTTTAAAATGCAATTTAAAGCATTTTTGGTTTCGATCATAGTAAGCTATTTTCAAAAAATATCGATTTTATACCTATATTAGCATTCTTTATCATTTATAATACCTAGATATTTTTTAAAATGCAATTTAAAACATTTTTGGTTTCGATCATAGTAGGCTATTTTCAAAAAAAAAATATCGATTTTATATCTATGTTAGCATTTTTTATCATTTATAATACCTAGATATGTTTTAAAATGCAATTTAAACCATTTTTTGTTTCGATCATAGTAGGCTATTTTCAAAAAAAAAAATATCGATTTTATATCTATATTAGCATTCTTTATCATTTATAATACCTAGATATGTTTTAAAATGCAATTAAAAGCATTTTTGGTTTCGATCATAGTAAGCTATTTTCAAAAAAATATCGATTTTATATCTATATTAGCATTTTTTATCATTTATAATACCTAGATATGTTTTAAAATGCAATTTAAAGCATTTTTTGTTTAGATATGTTTTAAAATGCAATTTAAATCATTTTTGGTTTCGATCATAGTAGGCTATTTTCAAAAATAATATTGATTTTATATCTATATTAGCATTCTTTATCATTTATAATACCTAGATATGTTTTAAAATGCAATTTAAAGCATTTTTGGTTTCGATCATAGTAAGCTATTTTCAAAAAATATCGATTTTATATCTATATTAGCATTCTTTATCTTTTATAATACCTAGATATTTTTTAAAATGCAATTTAAAACATTTTTGGTTTCGATCATAGTAGGCTATTTTCAAAAAAAAAATATCGATTTTATATCTATGTTAGCATTCTTTATCATTTATAATACCTAGATATGTTTTAAAATGCAATTTAAAGCATTTTTGGTTTCGATCATAGTAGACTGTTTTCAAAAATAATATTGATTTTATATCTATATTAGCATTCTTTATCATTTATAATACCTAGATATGTTTTAAAATGCAATTTAAAGCATTTTTGGTTTCGATCATAGTAGGCTATTTTCAAAAAAATATCGATTTTATATCTTTATTAGCATTTTTTATCATTTATAATACCTAGATATGTTTTAAAATGCAATTTAAAGCATTTTTGGTTTCGATCATAGTAGGCTATTTTCAAAAAAAAAATTATCGATTTTATATCTATATTAGCATTCTTTATCATTTATAATACCTAGATATGTTTTAAAATGCAATTAAAAGCATTTTTGGTTTCGATCATAGTAAGCTATTTTCAAAAAAATATCGATTTTATATCTATATTAGCATTTTTTATCATTTATAATACCTAGATATGTTTTAAAATGCAATTTAAAGCATTTTTTGTTTCGATCATAGTAGGCTATTTTCAAAAAAAAAATTATCGATTTTATATCTATATTAGCATTCTTTATCATTTATAATACCTAGATATGTTTTAAAATGCAATTTAACCCGTTCTTTACTAGCGTAACATATATGTTACGCAAATTTTTTCGTAAAGTTCTCTGCTATAATTGATCTTACATTGAATCTGATTAATGATTTTCATTTATAGCTAGATTATGTACCTTCCTTAACATTTCATGATGCTTAATTATGTAAAATGGAGAAGATAATTAAACTTTTCTTTTACATGGAAAATTTAGACATTTTGAAACTCAAAATTTTCATATTTTCTGACTCATTTTTGATCAGATCTTGATAGATTTATAAAGTAAATCATTTATAATTATAGATAAAAACTCTTTAATAAAGGTAAAGCATAGTTAAATACATTGACTATGTGACGATAATATGTGTAACACATATGTAACGCTAGGAAAATACGATATAAATTGCCCGTTACATATGTGTAACGCTAGTCTTTTGCAAATATTTTAGCGTTTCGGATTAAAAATGTAGTTTAATTATTTTAATTAATTTGGCTATGAAGTAAGCCAAATCATTTTGTGCATAGCTTCCTTATGATAAGAATAAAGTATTCAGTGGCAAAATTATTAAAAAGAGTGCTTCAAAGAGGATTTTTTGATGATTGAAAAAATTTACATTAAAAAATTAAGAGAAAATTTTAAAGTGATTTTTTTATGATTTAGACTGATTTCGGGTGTTTCAAAGTGCATTGGTTAATAAAATAAAATGAAAATAACGAGTTGGTGAGGTCCTAATGCTGAGAAATGTTTCATAAAAAAGATATGACATAAAATAAAAGTGTAAATAGATTAGAGTTTTTATCGTTTTCCTATACATTAGAGTATTTAAATTATACTCTAATTATGTTAAATAACACATGATTAATAACAAAGTATTGCATTATGGACATAAGTTTAAAAAAAAGGTAAAATAAAAGAATTAAAATTATTGGAAGAAAAAAATTTTTGCTTGCAAAATCCTAGCGTAACATATATGTTACGGAAAAAATTTGTTAATTCTATTAAATCTGTGCATTAATTTGAGCCAAACTCTTCGTCAAACTTATTTTTATACTGCAATTCATCAAATAAATGCACTCTAATGTCCCAAAAAAATTCCGTAATTAACGGGTTAAAGCATTTTTGGTTTCGATCATAATAAGCTATTTTCAAAAAAATATCGATTTTATATCTATATTAGCATTCTTTACCATTTATAATACCTAGATATGTTTTAAAATGCAATTTAAAGCATTTTTGGTTTCGATCATAGTAGACTGTTTTCAAAAAAAATATCGATTTTATATCTATATTAGCATTTTTTATCATTTATAATACCTAGATATGTTTTAAAATGCAATTTAAACCATTTTTTGTTTCGATCATAGTAGGCTATTTTCAAAAAAAAAATATCGATTTTATATCTATATTAGCATTCTTTATCATTTATAATACCTAGATATGTTTTAAAATGCAATTAAAAGCATTTTTGGTTTCGATCATAGTAAGCTATTTTCAAAAAAATATCGATTTTATATCTATATTAGCATTTTTTATCATTTATAATACCTAGATATGTTTTAAAATGCAATTTAAAGCATTTTTTGTTTAGATATGTTTTAAAATGCAATTTAAATCATTTTTGGTTTCGATCATAGTAGGCTATTTTCAAAAAAAATATCGATTTTATATCTATATTAGCATTCTTTATCATATATAATACCTAGATATGTTTTAAAATGCAATTTAAAGCATTTTTGGTTTCGATCATAGTAAGCTATTTTCAAAAAATATCGATTTTATATCTATATTAGCATTCTTTATCATTTATAATACCTAGATATATTTTAAAATGCAATTTAAAGCATTTTTAGTTTCGATCATAGTAAGCTATTTTCAAAAAAATATCGATTTTTTATCTATATTAGCATTCTTTATCTTTTATAATACCTAGATATGTTTTAAAATGCAATTTAAAGCATTTTTGGTTTCGATCATAGTAGACTATTTTCAAAAAAAATATCGATTTTATATCTTTATTAGCATTCTTTATCATATATAATACCTAGATATGTTTTAAAATGCAATTCAAAGCATTTTTGGTTTCGATCATAGTAAGCTATTTTCAAAAAAAATATCGATTTTATATCTATATTAGCATTCTTTATCTTTTATAATACCTAGATATGTTTGAAAATGCAATTTAAAGCATTTTTGGTTTCGATCATAGTAAGCTATTTTCAAAAAATATCGATTTTATATCTATATTAGCATTCTTTATCATTTATAATACCTAGATATGTTTGAAAATGCAATTTAAAGCATTTTTAGTTTCGATCATAGTAGGCTATTTTCAAAAAAAATATCGATTTTATATCTATA